TGGCTGCCGCCTGGGACCTATTTACATCAAGCGCGCACGCAGGCGCGCCGGCCGCCTCCGTCTGGACAAGGGCGCGGAGGGGGGCGCGGCGCTGTGCTCCGGTATGCTAGCTCGTGACCTCGGCGGTTCAAAAGGGCAGATGCCCCTCAAACGCTGGAAATGAAAGAGTAGCGTCAGCATGGGAACTCCTGGACACTTCCCTCCTTCCTCTCATTACCCCTTGCCCTGCTTGCTGAAGATCCAAGCAGAGCCCGGAGCAGGGGGGTGGGGCTCTGTTCCAATTCTTTCCATTGAACCCTGGCATCTAACTTGGTCCCTTTGGGAGGGCAGGGATGCCTCAAAGGAGGGAAATCGATTTCTATGCCGTCTTTGTCAACTTTGTCTATCTTAAATTTTACATGAATAGGGAGGTCTCATTTTCCAAGGGGTTAAAAAACATAGACCATAGACCCGCAGTATCAGCAGTATATGGGAACTAAGTAGAAACGCACAATCTTGGGCCCCCATTAGGCCACCTAAGCCCGAATCGAGATTTTTAAGGAAGTCCCCAGGCGATTCACATGCACCTTAACATTTGGAAAGCCAGCGTTGCTCTAACTATTCCACGATAAGCTTTCTGCTTACTTAAATCAATTTTATAAGCACCCACTGCATGCTAGATGCTGTGTGAGAGAGCTGGGGCAGCAGCAGGATATAACAGTGGCTACAACCTGGGAATATAATCATTGCAGGGGGCGGAAAGATGTTACAGTGAGAATTCCCCACCCTTGTGGAGATTGCTAAGTGTAACATTTCTTCTCCCACCCTTCCTAAGAGAATAGTGATGAATGCAAGCATCAGGAAGCCTAGATCCTTTGCTTTTCACTTGACATATGCCCTCCTTCCAGGAGTCTGACACAAGCACTGCGATCAGTGGGTCTCACATCACTATCTTGTGAACTTAGCTGTGTGTTTCATCAACCAGCCCAGTCACTTCGAAATCACAATCCTTTGGTCCTCAGATTCCTCATATGAAAAGGAGAGGTTTGTGTTAGTGATCTTTTGGATCCAGGACTAAATTTGTGAAGCAAGGACGTGCTTGGTATATACCACCTGCTATAAGATACCCTTTTTCTCCTCTTTCTTTTGGTCAGAGGGTGTGTGTGTGTGTGTGTGTGTGTGTGAGAGAGAGCAAGAGAGAGAAAGCGTGTCAAAAGGGCATGATCATGCTGCTATCCTTTTGTCCTCCATTTCTTCATCCCGTGAAGATCCCAGGCATACACATGCATTCCCAGCATGTTTTTCCCAAGCTATCTGGCTGTGATTCAAACTGTGGTTGACCATGTGGGATCCAGCTACCTCCGCACAGTGGTTAACTGCTGTTCTGCATGCTGGCTCTCTTTTCTTTATTTTAATATTTTATGTAATTTTATTTATTTATTATTATTATTTTCCAGTTTGATCATAGAGAGAGAAAGCAAGCCACCAGGACTTCAGCTGCAGTCGGTCGTGTGGGAGCCCAATGCCGTAATCCACCATACTGCCTGCTGCAACTCCCCACACCCCCTTTCCTTTTTAAAAACAGATTATCTGGGACCCGAACTTTGGGCATAAGAGAAAAATCTAGGAGACCACATTTTGCTTTCAACCTGAAATTTTATTCTGGCATTGGCACCAGATTGCCTCAATTTAATCCTAGCCCTGCCGCTCATAGTTCCGTGGCCTTGGGTGATGAACTAGTTTCCTACTGCTTCTGAAAAAAAAATTACCTCTGATGTGGTTTAAGGCAACACAAATTTATTATCTTACAGTTCTGGAGGCCAGAAGTGTGAGATCAGTTTCACTGGGCTAAAATCAGGGGTGACAATCCTGGGAGCTGCAGGGGGAAATCTACTTTCTTACCCTTTCCAGCTTCTCAGAGCTGCCTTTATTCCTTGGCTCTTGGCCACATCACTCCCACTGCTTCTATCTCTTTCTGATTCTTTGAAGGATCTTTGCGATTATGTTGGGCCTAGCCAAATAGCCCAGGCTAATATCCCATCTCAAAATCCTTAATCACATCTGCTAAGTCCCTTTTACCCTGTAAGATAACAGATTCACAGGTTCTGAGGATTGGGACATGGACGTCTTTTGGAAGAAACTATTCGGCCTATCACAGGAAAGGTCCTCAAACCATCTGGGCCTCAGTTTCTTCATATGTAGAACGTGGACAGCATTCTCTGTGAGCTAATCCTCATAAATGTGTTAATTAATGTCAAAATGTTTCGAAAACATTTGGTACATAGTAAGTTTGGCATTTATCAACTATTTTTCTTCTTTTTTATTTTTAGGAAAATGAAGGATAACTTCAGGGTTAGAAAGTGAATAATTTTTCCCACTTTTCCTATGCTTACCTTACTTGACCCATACTCAAAACACTGGATGAGTCAGTTGGTCCACAGTGACAATATATATTGGCAATGTTATCTCATTGACTTTTTCATTATTTACCAGTTCCATTATGCAAGCTACTATGTTAGGTATTATTATTGCCACTTTAGCAGCTTTCTTGCTTAATGAACCCACCAACCAGCCTTGCTGAATAACCCAGTCTGCCTCAGTCCCCACCTTTCTTCAAGGTTTTATTTTTAGAGAACTTTTTTCTTTTTTCTTTTTGCTTTGTTTTTGTTTTTGTTTTTGTTTTGTTATAGGACATGTGTGCTTGCTGGAGAGACAGAGAGAGAGAGAGAGAGGAGGTAGAGAGAGAGAGAGACAGAAAGCAAGAAATCACCTCCAGGGGCTGGGGGTAGACACATTGCAATCACTTCTCCTCTATTCTCCTCTCGGGATTTTGAGCATGCACACACACGTGCCCGGGGTCCGGGACTCGAACAGTCAACCATGTAAGACTCCAGCAACATAGCCATTACACCATCTGCGGACCCCTTAATTTTTTTATTGACAGAGAAAGAAGCACCCTCAACCAGATTTCATGCTGTTATCCTCTCCCTACTTCCTGATCAGCCAGTATCAGGAGCATGTGCGTATGCCCAGTGCGTATAGGTTGACGTGAGAACTGAACCTTGATCATATAGCTTGCAGCATTGCAGAGAGATGTGCTATCACTGCACCATCACAGCAGAGTTACTCAGTCCTCACCTCAAGGTGCCAGTGCTAGTTATAATTTTATATTTTTCTCAATACCTGGTATGATCTAATTTGGTTAGCTATTTGATGTTTGCTGATTGTGTCCCCTCACTAGTATAAAAGTCCTTTGAGAGCAAGGAATCCGTCACTTTGAATCTCAGTAGAGAGAGAAATGTCTGACACACGGTATGTGCTCAAAAAATACATTTGTTCAGGACCAGCAGTTAGCGTAATGGCTATGTCGCTGGACTCCCATGTAGTTGACTGCAGTTCGAGTCCCAGACCTGGTGGCTTAAACTTACACTGGGCGCATGTGCATGCATGCCCAAGATCCCGAGAGGAGAATGGAGGAGAAGGGATTACAGTGTGGCCATCCCCTCGGGGGGTGATTTCTTGCTTTCTATCTCTATGTCTCTCTCTGTCTCTCTCTGTCTTTCTGGTGAGTGCATGCGCCCTATAGCAAAAACCTCTCCAAAAAAGAAAAAAATATATTTGTTGGCCCACTACACCTTTAGAGGCTGAGCGTTCCCACACAGCAATCCTTGCCCTGACCCCAGAGGGAGGAGAAATTAGCAGGTCTTGTTACAGTCAGAGCTTTCTAGAGATCTGTCTTGATACTCAGGATGCTACAAGATTTATAGTAAAGTAACAAGAGAACTTGGTAACAGACAAATGACTTGGCCTTGAATTTGGGCTATTCCACTCTGAAGATACAATATTGAATAAGTCGTTTAACTTCAGTCTTTTCATTTTTGAAACAGGAACAAAATTCTGTAGACCAATATTAATATGTACACCCTGTTCGAACTCCTTAAGGAGTTATTAATGTTTTCATCCTCTCAACATGATCATTTACAGCAACGTTTGCTGACCCCTTCACAATATAGAAATCAGAGTAAACAAAAAATTACATTCTCTTGTTCTCTAATGATTCAACATGGAGTAAAGCATTTAACACTACTTCAGCTTTTTCCATCAGTGAAATCAGGATAAGTGTTATTAACTACTTTTTATATATGCACCTTAACCCTATATCCTTCGAGAATTTTTCTAAAATTCTTTTTATCTCATCAACTATGCTTTTTTTTTTTTTTTTGGAGAGGTTTTTTTTTTTTTTTTTCGCTATAGGGAGCGTGCGCTCGCCAGACAGACAGAGAAAGACATAGAGACAGAAAGCGAGAAATCACCCCCCAGGGGGGATGGTCACGCCGCAATCCCTTCTCCTCCATTCTCCTCTCGGGATCTTGGGCACGCACGCACACGCGCCCGGCGTGAGTTTTAAGCCACCGGGTCCGGGACGTGAACCACGGTCGACTACGTGGGAGTCCAGCGACATAGCCATTACGCTAACTGCTGGTTCCCTCATCAACTATGCTTTTAAAAATCCTAGAAACTTCAACCTCTTTTGGTGAGTTTAATCATCCAGACCTCACGCATACTTGATGACTTTGACTTTGGATTGCAGGCATTGTCTAAAATTGAAACTTAAGTGAAGCACTGAGAACCATGCATTTGTAATATATTGGTTATAGTTCCTGTTCTTTCCCAGGAGCACAGTCCCCTGAATTTATTGTATTTTTCTTAAAGTTTTGATCTTCTGTTCAC